ACCGGCCACGGAAACAACAAGGGCAGATAACACAAAGCCCGCATGTACACACAATAGCCAGGCAGCCTTACAGGTCGCCTACCCCCGGATCTGCGATTGAACGTTCGCGGTTTGCCCGTCCGACATAAGAGAGCTCGGGCCCAAGTGGCCAAGATACCATCGACGCTCTGCGATAATGGCTTATGTCGCTTAGGCCGATCTAAGCCTTGATCGTCGAATTTTCCCGTGAGATGAACAAGCCTCACGCTGCAAGGAGGCAAGCCCAAGTGAAATTCGATTGCAGCCTGAGGCCTAGTCATTTCGCTCTCAATCCTTCAGGTAACTTACGCGAACTATGGCAACTACGTTGTGGTCTGACGTCGTTTTTGTAACTTGGTCGCGTTGTCAGGGTGACTGAATTGGACACACCTTGTCCTAATTTCTCTCCTAGATTATTTATTATAATTTCCAGCGTCGAACCGTGGACTTGGTACATTCCCAGACGTTTTGCTGACATCATAATCGGCATCGTCAGTGAGTCTTGCTATTCTCAGCGCCAAGCAACAATTCGTCAAAGAGAATTATGATAACTTATAACAGGGGACTTCGAACATGGTGAACATCTACTCATATCCTCGAAATCCTACCTTATTCGAATTGACAATCTGATCTCTCCTGTCGGCAGGCCTAAACTCACACCTATGACCAGTGTTTCGCAAATTGGTCTCACTGAAAGCCGAAGAAGAAGTGCCTTAGATATGTAAATTTGTGCGAATAAGGCATTGGGAACCGTCCCGCAACCCCAAGGAAACCGTGCAGAGATTTAGTCTGTATCACCTTAAAAAACATCGTCAGAGCAGGGCGCCATTCTTTGCGAGAATTCACCAATCGCTAGAACAATAAATGTGGCCAGCTGCAATCATAGCCGCTTCTTATAACCTCACTTGGTTCACTAAATGAGACACTACATTATTTGAAGGTATGAAGACCAAGATGGTGTGGCCTTTTGTAGGGTCGCAGTCTTGTGTGCCAAACAGCAAACGTTGTGGTTCAACATTGAACCTAACCAAAGCAAGCAGTACCACAACATTTGTGGGTTGGCACACAAGAGACTAGGGCATGGCAAGACTTGGTATTAGAGATAGAAACAGTATAGACGCGGCGGCGATGGGAGCTAGTGGACTGACAGTAGTTTTTATAAGAGACGTGGTCCATGTGGCAA